TCTGTCTGGCGAGCGCATGCGCCCTATAGCGAAAACCTCTCCAAAAAAAAAGAAAGAAAGAAAGAATCATTTTATTTAACTTTATTTTATTTTAATTTGACTAGAGAGGAACAGAGAGAGAGAGAGAGAGAGACAGTAAGAAAGCAAGTCGCCAGATCTGGGACTTGAACCGCTGCTGGCCATGTGGGAGTCCAGCACCCTTAACCACCATGCCACCCACCAGCTCCTCCTCTAGGGATTCTGGGCATGCATGCTGATATACCCAGTGTGAGGGTTTTTTTTCAGAGAGGTTTTTGCTATAGGGCACATGCACTCACCAGAAAGACAGAGAGAGACAGTAAAAGAGAAATCACCCCACAGGGGGGATGGCCACGCCGCAATCCCTTCTCCGCCATTCTCCTCTCATCTTGGGCACGTACGCACACGTACTCGGCATGAGTTTAAGCCACGAGAATCCAGCGACATAGCCATTACTACAACTGCTGGTCTCCCTTTGAGAGTTTTAAGCCACTGGGTCCAGGACTTGAACCACGGTCTACTATGTGGGAGTCTAGCAACATAATCATTATGCCATCTGCTGGTCCCTTAATTTTTATTTTAGAAAGAGATTTTTGCTATAGGGTGCATGCCCTCACTCGTGAGACAGACACAGAAAGACAGAAATCGAGAAATCGACTTCTTTCCCAATTCCCCCGGGGAGTGGGGGAAGGGCATGCTGCAATCTCTTCTATACTACATTCTTCTCTCAGGATTTTAGGCACACATACACACGTGCCTGGGCATGCATACACACATGCTTGGTGTGAGTTTTAAGCTGCTGGGTTCAGGATTTAAACCCTGGTTTACTACAGGGAGTCCAGCGATATAACCATTATGCCACTTGCAGGTACCACAAATTACACTTTTTTTTAAAAAGGAATTATTTTATTTAATTTTATTAATTGTCATTATTTTTATTTTATTTTTATTTTTTTAAGTTGACCAGAGAGAGACAGAGACAGAGAAGGAAAGTGAAAAAGCAAACTGCCAGGTCCAGGACTCGAATCATGGCCAGCCACATGGGTATCCCAGTCACCTTAATCACCACACCACCTACCAGCCCCAAATTATACAATTTTTACTGGACAAATCTGTTTTTTTCTTTAAGCTTTAGTTTTGTGTCCCATGAAGGCAGGCCCTGAACATCTCAAGATTTACAAAAATACTGGTTGTCAGGAAAGTCATGATGTATTTTTTCAATGTGAAAATGCATCATGGGGATCAGCAGTTAGCGTAATGGCTATGTCGCTGGACTCCCACATAGTTGACCGCGGTTCGTGTCCCAGACCCGGTGGCTTAAAACTCACACCGGGTGCGTGTGCGTGCGTGCGTGCCCAAGATCCCGAGAGGAGAACGGAGAAGGGATTGTGGCGTGGCCATCCCTCCTGGGGGGTGATTTCTCACTTTATGTCTCTCTGTCTCTCTCGGTCTGGCGAGCGCACGCACCCTATAGCAAAAACCTCTCCAAAAAAAAGAAAGAAAATGCATCATGACTTTTCCTTTTTTTAAAAAAAATAATTATTTACTTAATTTTATTTATTATTATATTATTCTATTTGACCAGAGACAGACAGAAAAAGAGATAGAAAACAAGCTGCCAGGTCTGGAACTCAAACCACGTGGGAATCCAATGCTGTAATCACCACACCATCTGCCACCCTGTCATGACTTTTCTAATAACCCACTTTATGTCTATGGAGTCAGCAGGTTGTGTGGTGGTTAAGTTGCTGGACTCTCACATGGTCAACTGTGGTTTGAGTCCTGGACCTGATGGCTTGCTTTCACACCCTCCTACCCACTTCTTTGGTGAATTAAAAAAATAATAACAATACATAAAATTAAATAAATAATTGATTTTAATTTTATTAAGTATTATTATTTAATTTGCTACAGTGCACGTGTATTCACCAGAGAGAGACAGGGAAGGGAGAGAGAAAGTGAGAAAGCAAGCTGCCAGGTCTGGGACTTGGGTCAGCCATAAGACAGTCCAGTGTCCTTAACCACCATGCCATCTGCCAGCTCCTGCCCTTTTTCTTTTTACATATTAGCATTTAGAACAGTCCTGGGCAGAGAAAAAGTACTAGATAAGTAACTGATGAATGAATAAAGAGTTGCTGCATCTTCCTCTGCTTAGTCTCTACTTAGCAGTCCTAGTCCATGATGCCACCATGTTCTACATCTTAGTTTCTATTTAGTACTTCTTCCTGCTTGAATTAGAAGTGAATTGATTTTTTTTAAAGAATTATTTTTTATTTTTAAAACTTTTTTATCTATTTATTTTAATTTTACCAGAGAGGGACAGAGAGAGAGAGAGAGAGAGAAAGTGAGAAAGCAAGCCACCACTTCTGGGACTCGAACTGCAGTGGGCCATGTGGGTGTCTAGTGCCCTTAAGCATCACGCCACCTGCTGGTCCCATAAGCGAATTTATTATATGGCACACTATTTTTTTCTCCTGACTAAATCTGTACAACAGAGTCTGATTCATAGATATTTGATAAATGAATCAGCTACATATTATTATTATTATCCATTATTATTTTAGTTTTACTATAGGGCATATCCTCTCACCAGAGACAAAGACAGAAAGAAAATGAGAAATCACCCCTTAGGAAATGGTCACAGGCAATCCCTTCTCTATTCTCCTCTCAGGATTTTGGGCACTGCACATGGGCTGGGTCTAATTTTCAAGCTTTTTGTAAAGTCGCAGTTGGACATGTGGGATTCAGGGTCTTAACCCCCATGATATTTTAAGGAGGTAACACTACTCTGAATAAATTTCAGGGAATATGGGGGGTTTTACAAAAAGCCTTAAACTACTTTGAGATTTATCCCAGAAAGATTAACTCGCTGGCACCACCTAGTCATCAATAAAGGTGCTGCACTTCTACTGAAACTACAGAAAAGATCCTCCAATACTGTAATACGGAGGGGGAGGAACTCGTTCATGCTCACCAGTCTCTTAGTACTCTGAACTGCACAGTGATGACCGGTCTCAAATTGCATGAATCTCCAATTCTTGAAGTTCTGAGCGTCATAAATTTGAGGAAAGCGGAACTGTTCATCAGGACTACAGAGGCTCAAAGTTCAAATCGCCTGCGGGTGGAGTTGATTAGGAAAAGGGAAAGCATTAAGCCGTTTTATTTGCTTTATACGAACTTGCCCTCAAGCTGTCTGGATAACTTCCACAGGGGCGGGCAGCAATGGAAACACATCCCTTTCCTCTAGGAAGATACCCGCAGGGACGTTTTCTCCGCGTTTCCTAGTGAGGCTGAGGGGGTCTTTGAAACCCCCGCACCCAGACACGCCCTGAGGGAAACTCGATCCCAGAAACACGGAGAAGGTTAAGGGCGGGGAACACAGCTTTACCAGGTTGGAAGTGAGCAGCGTTTGGCCAGCAAACGTCAGGACCGGCTCGGGGAGCAGCTCTGGACACTGCCCTCCTCCACCTGGGTCGGGGGGTACTTAAAGCTCCCATACTGAGGTCCCGCGGCTGCCAGGCTCGACCAGGCCCAGATGGTCCCCAGAGGTCGCCGTGAACTCGCCGCCCCCGAAACTCCTTCTGGCCTTCCCTTATCAGAAGCTAGATAGCCTCAGACCCTCGGGGTCCCCTCTCTGCTTCCCGCCCGCGGTAGATCCCACAGTTTGGAGCTAGGGGCCCCGCCTACCTGAGCGCCCAGGCCCGGCAGACCGCGCGCATAGAGCACTTCCGCCCTACGCATGCACTTCCGCCCCCTGGAACCAATAAGAGCCGGGCCGCTGGGTTCCGCTGGCTGCGTGCAGTCCGCTCGTCCTCCCCGGGGATTCAGCGAGTAGGTGGCGAGTGCGTGGTCAGCTCTCCAACCGCCGGCGGCTGCGAGCCAGGACTTTAGCGCAGTCCGCCGTGCACTCTGTCCCAGGTAATGAAGAGTACAAGATGGTGGGGCCTTGTCAGATTCAAATTTGGGGCAGGGAGCCTTCACTCCTTAATTCTGGAAACGGGGCCAGAAATTTTGGTAAATTTGTCTCTGACCCTCGGAACGCGTGGGATTCACCCTGGGAGGGAAAACTCCCTTTGTAGCAGCGTCTTGAGGACTTGTCCCCTTGGGCTTGGCGGGAGCAGCTGCGGGTGGAGGAACTTCTCCATTCTGAATGGCTTCCATTTCCTCCTAAATAGTTCATTCCAATTCTGTAAAAGCCTAAATCTGCCTTCTCCGAAGCGGTTTGACCCATCCCCTTGAGAAGAGGCAACTTAGCCGTTAGGCAATACTTTATAAATTATCCGGCAGCCAGCTTCCTGATGCCGTCGGTAGCAAACTAACTGCGGTGCTGGAAGTCAGTGATTGTCCTAGGGGAACCCCAAATCTGAGAGGGCTTGCCCATAGTGTTTACCGATCCCAAAGAACACCCTAGAGGTCCTGAAGGAGACTAGAGTTTACTCGCACTGGGGGAAACAAGGTTCTACTGATGGCCTGGCGGAGTCGTTCCTATTGCTAGGAGCACAAGATCAGGTTTTATTCAAAAGAACATAGCAGGGACCAGCCGTTGGCGTATTGGCTATGTCGCTGGACTCCCATGTAGTAAACCGCGGTTCGAGTCCCGGACCCGGTGGCTTAAATTCAGTGCGGGTGTGCATGCGTGCTCTTAGAGAGGAGAATGGAGAAGGGATTGCAGCTTGGCCATCCTTCCTGAGGGGTGATTTCTCGCTTTTTGGCGAGTGCTCACGCCCTATAGCAAAAACCTCTCCAAAAAAATAAAGAAAAGCGTTCTGGGGAGCCAGCAGGTGGCGTGGTCGCTAAGGCACTGGACTCCCACATGGCTTTGTGCACGCTTGGAGTCCTGGACCTGGTGGCATAAAATCGTGGCAGACACACGTGCGTGCCCAAAATCCCAAGGGGAAAGTGGGGGAAAAGGGATGGCAACCTGGCTATCCTCCCACCCCCTGGGGTGACATGGTTTCTCACTTTAACTCTCCTTCTCTGGGAGCACTCACATTCTGTGGCAAAAACCTTAAAAAATATAGTACTATTAAATCAGTTAACGATCAATGGAGACTCCCTGTAAGTAAAACATGAGTCTGATTTGTGCACACATTGCTTGAAGATTACAGTAAAGGTTAGCTTATCAGTATCAATGTTTAGGTTTTAGTGCCTCTAAGCTAGTAATGTTAATATGGGAGTGTTGTGTTTCTCTGGAATGGCCCAGCCCTAGGCCAATTCCATCAGGTGAAGGTGGTGTTCATAAAATGTCCAGGAAGCCCAGCCCGACCAGCAGCTGGGTCTCAGGAACACAGGGCAAAGAGGGAGGGGATGAGGTGAGGTAGGAGACAGACCCTAAAAATATAGCTCAGATATAGGCCCAAAAGGGAAATTTGAAATCGCCAAAGCCTTATTTTTTTTTAAGAATTAAACAACTTTATTAATTTACTTATTATTACTTTTTAAATTTGACCAGAGAGAGAGGGAAAGAGAGAGGAGAATGGAGAAGGGATTGCAGCTTGGCCATCCTTCCTGAGGGGTGATTTCTCGCTTTTTGGCGAGTGCTCACGCCCTATAGCAAAAACCTCTCCAAAAAAATAAAGAAAAGCGTTCTGGGGAGCCAGCAGGTGGCGTGGTCGCTAAGGCACTGGACTCCCACATGGCTTTGTGCACGCTTGGAGTCCTGGACCTGGTGGCATAAAATCGTGGCAGACACACGTGCGTGCCCAAAATCCCAAGGGGAAAGTGGGGGAAAAGGGATGGCAACCTGGCTATCCTCCCACCCCCTGGGGTGACATGGTTTCTCACTTTAACTCTCCTTCTCTGGGAGCACTCACATTCTGTGGCAAAAACCTTAAAAAATATAGTACTATTAAATCAGTTAACGATCAATGGAGACTCCCTGTAAGTAAAACATGAGTCTGATTTGTGCACACATTGCTTGAAGATTACAGTAAAGGTTAGCTTATCAGTATCAATGTTTAGGTTTTAGTGCCTCTAAGCTAGTAATGTTAATATGGGAGTGTTGTGTTTCTCTGGAATGGCCCAGCCCTAGGCCAATTCCATCAGGTGAAGGTGGTGTTCATAAAATGTCCAGGAAGCCCAGCCCGACCAGCAGCTGGGTCTCAGGAACACAGGGCAAAGAGGGAGGGGATGAGGTGAGGTAGGAGACAGACCCTAAAAATATAGCTCAGATATAGGCCCAAAAGGGAAATTTGAAATCGCCAAAGCCTTATTTTTTTTTAAGAATTAAACAACTTTATTAATTTACTTATTATTACTTTTTAAATTTGACCAGAGAGAGAGGGAAAGTGAGAAAGCAAGCCACTAGGTCCGGGACTGGGACTGGAACTGGTCGGCCATGTGGGACCACAACTCCAACCACCACTCCACCTGCCGGCCCAAAATGGCTGCAATTTAAGATGGCAGCAGCAGCTTCTTGCTCAGGAGAGACCACTTACATCGGTGGCTCCACTGACAAAGGCTTGACCCTCCCACCACATTCCAGGAAGTTCCAGGAAGGGGATAGATAATGGTTTTTAAAGCCCAGCCTTCTAGACAAAGAATCTCCTGACCTTCTACCCACTCCAGAGTTAGAAAGATAATGGGACCCATCAGCACCCTGTGGGGGGTGAAGATAGGCAGCACCAGCCCAACCTAGGACTAGTCCAGACTAGCCCTTCCTGACCCAAATAGAAACCTAATATATTTCTTCTTTGGCAGCCCATTTTCTGAGACCACTCCCTTCTGGGGAGCTGTTTTTCCTACCCTCTCTTAATAAACTCCCCACTTTGCTGCTATACCTATTCTCTGTCCGACTCTAATTCTTCTGAGCAGGCGCCAAGAAACCGTGTCTTTCTGCATGTGGGCCCAGTCACCCTATCGCCCCTTGCATTCCTTTGTCATACCCAGGCTCATGGGTAGGTCTATTCTCAGTGGCCAACTATTGATTGAGATCCATGGATGGGGCACACTGTGTGCCCAGGCTCCCAGAGGTGCTAGAGGTCTGGGGAAAAGGGATTGTGTTGTTGAGAAATCCTGTTTTGGTTAAATGTGTTGGACTCCCACACAGCCGACTATTGTTTGAGTCCCAGGCCTGGTGGCTTGCCTTCCCACTCCCCCCCCCACCAAGTCTGTCCCTCTCTGGTCAGATTAAAATTTTTAGAAAAAGATGAAATAAAATAATTCTTTTTTAAAAAAAGATACTATCTGGTGTGCTTTTATTTCTCTACCATTTTTTCCTTTCCCTTCTCCCCTCCCCCCCTCCCATACCCCTGAAATTGGATGGGAAACATTTTATGTTCCCCAGTCCATCTTACTGAAGTCAGGAGTCCACAGATAACATTAGGGTTTTTTAGCAAAATTGTTTGAGTTGTAGTCTTTAAAGTTACCTGTATTTCGGGGGACCAGCAGATGGCGTAATGGCTATGACACTGGACTCCCATGTAGTCAACTGCAGTTCAAGTCCCAGACCCAGTGGCTTAAACTCACGCAGGGTGCTAGTGCATGCTTGGCCAAGATACTGAGAGGAGAATGGACAAGGGATTCCGGTGTGGCCACCCCCACGGGGTGGGGGAGTGATTATTTCTCATTTTCTGTCTGTGTGTGTGTGTCTTTCTGGTGAGTGTACGCGCCCTGTTGCAAAAACCTCTCCAAAAAAAATTAGCTGTGTTTCAGAGGCCAGTGGATGACATGGTAGTTTAGGGTACTGAATTCACCACATGGCCCTCTGAGGTTTGGGTCTCTTCTTGCTTTCTCTCTGCTCTGGTGAGTACCCATTCCTTAGCAAATAATAAATAAAACAACTTTTTAAAAATGTCACCTGTATTTCAGCTGTCCAGGATAAGCTTTCCAATTTGGTTACTGTAAATTTTACCAGATGGTATTGTTTCCATCAGTTTTGTCTAGTTGCAAAATTCTTAATTTCTATCTATTATTTTTCAGAGTTAGAATTTGGATGTGAAATCACTTTTCTAACCCACCTCACAGAAGACTGTTGACATACAAATTGGGATCTTTCCAGTTGCCTGACTTGCAGAACGCTTCAGGTTCAAAGAATTCCCTTTTGTAAAAGTAAGTGCCTGTTAAATTAATCCAATTATACTTTTTTATCTATTTCTCTAATGAGTTTCTTCCATGAGTGAGAGGGATACACTTCCCATAGGGTCCTGATGCTGAGATCAGCCAGCCCTGGGTCATGAGCGTGTGCATTCCTGGCATAGTAAGGAATGTCATTATAAAAGCCCAGAACCAGGGCCCAGCAGGTGGCGTGGTGTCCAGGGTGCTGGATGCTCCCACATGGCCAACCACGGTTCAAGTCCTGGACCTGGTGGTGTATTTTTCACTTTCCCTCTTCCTCTCTCTCTGTCTCTCTCTGGTCAAATTAAAATAAATAAATGAACAAATTAAAAAAAAAGCCCAGACCCTTCTCACAATAGGTCAGCCTCTCAGTGTGTCAGGTTCCACAGGGTCTCACCATTCTGCCTGATATTTCTATTTTTTTTTTTTTGAGAGGTTTTTGCTATAGGGCGCATGCGCTCGCCAGACAGACAGAGAGACAGAAAGCGAGAAATCACCCCCCAGGGTCCATTCTGTAATCCCTTGTCCTCCATTCCCCTCTCAGGATCCTGGGCACGCACACACACGCGCCTAGCATGAGTTTAAGCCACCGGGTCCGGGACTCAAACCGCGGTCGACTTAGTGGGAGTCCAGAGACACAGCTATTATGCTAACTGCTGGTCCCCAGATACGTCTAATCTTTATGGTGATAATGTTTTTTTAAATACTGTAGTATCTTATTCAAGTGTTCATGTGGCTTTTAGTTTGAGCAGTCTTAGAAGTTGTGGAGGAAAGGCCATGCACACCTTTTTTGTTGTTTCTTTTTTGAAGGTTTTTTTTTTTTTTTTTTTTTTTTTTTTTAATGGAGAGGTCTTTGCTATAGGAGCACGGAAAGACAAAGAGACAGAGAGAGAAATCACACACACACACCCCCGGGGGGGGGGGTTGTGCCACGCTGCGAACATCTCGGTTTGGCCATGCCGCAATTCCTTTTTCTCCTTTCTCCTCTCAGGATCCTGGGCACGCACCCACGGTGAGTTTAAGCCACCTGGTCCGGGACTCAAACCGCAGTCGACTTCATGGGAGTCCAGCGACATAGCCATTATGCTAGCTGCTGGTTCCCAAAAAAGAAACATTCTTGCAATAGGGAATAAGCACTAGCTAGAAAGACAAAGATAGAGAGAACCAATAATCAACCCCCAGGGGTGGAGGGGAGCATAGCCACACTGCAATGCCTTCTCCATTCTCTTCCTGGAATCCAGGGCATCCCCATGTGCCCAGCATGAATTTCAAGTCACCTGGTCCAGGACATGAACCACAGTCACATGGAAGTTTAGTACCTTATCCACTATGCCACCCACTAGCCCTTCTTTTCCTTTTTAATATATGAGGAAACTGAAACTCAGAGCTGTTGATCAACTTGTTTAGGATCTCAAAGTTAAAGTAATACTTTAGTTGGGGCCAGGAGGTAGTGTGGTGGTTAAGGCTCTGAACACTCCCACAGGAAGACCATGGTACAAGTCCTGGAACTGGTGGCTTGCTTTCTTTCTCTCACTCTGTCCTCTCTGGTCAAATTAAAATAAAGTAAGTAAAATATTCTTAAAGAAAATAAAGCAGTACTTTAGATAGGTTTTTGCAATATGACACGTGTGCTCACTGGAGAGACTGACATAAAGAAATCACACCCCCCAGGGGTGACTTTTTTCTGGGGATCTTGACAACACAATCAAGCAAATACATGTGCCTGGCATGAGTGGTTTTTTTGCTCTCACTCTATCCCTCCCTGGCCAAGTTAAAATAAATAGTTAAATAAGAATAACTCTTAACAAAAAAAGTAACTTGGTTCTTCCAAAGTGCCAGACAATGTGCTGAGCACTCATGCGAACCTTACAACAACCCGACTAAGTAGGCATTATTATCCCATCTGCCTCCTTTATTTTCCTTTTTAAGAGACATTCTTGGGACTAGCAGTTAGCGTAATGGCTATGTCGCTGGACTCCCACGTAGTCGACCGTGGTTTGCGTCCCAGACCCGGTGGCTTAAAACTCACGCCGGGTGCGTGTGTGTGCGTGCCCAAGATCCCGAGAGGAGGATGGAGGAGAGGGGATTCCTGCGTGACCATCTCCCCTGGGGGGTGATTTCTTGCTTTCTGTCTCTATGTCTCTCTCTGTCTGGCGAGCACACATGCCCTATAGCTAAAAACCTCTCCAAAAAAAAAAAAAAATAGAAATCGAGTTCTCTCTGATTCCTCAAGAAATTGAAAACATCTGTGAGTAACTAGCTTCTACTTAAAATAGCTCAGAATTGGCCCAGCCATAGTAGTGCATGCTGGGTTTTACTACTTGGCAGGCTGAGGCCACAGTGAAGGGCCAGGTTGAATTTCTGACCCGCCTTAAAAAGCCAGGCATGGTAGTACACACCTATCAGCTGTTGCAGAGGCTGAGGTAGGAAAATCAGTGCTCAGCCAGCATGGGCAACATAGTGAGACTTTGCCTGAATGGCCAGGTGGTGGTGGCGGATCACACTCGTGGTCCTACCCTCAGGAGGCTGAGGCAGGGGGATTACAGCATAGGCAGATCCTATCTCAAATACCCCCCCCACACACACACACATACAGCATCAAAGAAAAAAAATACTGCAACTTAGAATCTGTATAGAACATGCAGAAGTAGAAAGACAAAACACAAAGTAGGGCAATTGGCCATTTCCTCTAGAAAAAGTTGACTGTTAAGATGTAGATTGTTGTAATCCATAAGGAGGAGACTGATTTTCACTCAGATTTCCCCCTGCATTTTTTTTCTAACTGAGTTGTGTGGGTGTGTGTGTGTGTGTTTAAAGAATTATTTTATTTATTTAACTTACTCATTTTTAATTTGACCAGGGAGGGACAGTGAGAGAGGAAAAGTGAGAAAGCAAGCCACCGGTTGGTGATCTGGGAATCCAGTGTCCTTAACAATCAGGTCACTGGCCAGCCTCTAACCTAAGTTTTATTTGTTGCATAATAAGCCACCTAACATCTTTCAGCTAAAAAATACTAAATTTGAATGGAGGTATAATAAAATGAATTAGATCCTAATTAGCTTTGGGTATGAAACATAATTCTCAATTAAGAAAGACATTTAACACCTATTATGCCATGAATTCATAGGGAATAGGTTCCAGAAGTTCAGACTCCTTCCCATTGGTTCTCACAAAGTGCTTCTCTGAGCGGAGCAGGCTGGCGCTTCAGTTGAACCCAGGTCCCTTTCTCTTTGGTTTCTTTTTCTGGTCGTTTTCCTAAACACATTTTATTTAGGAAGCTATCTCTGTTCTTAGAATGCTTAATGTGCTCAGTATACACACTAATTCCCTTGGTAAGCATCTTGCCCTTAACTTGTTTAAAATAATGCCAACAGCATGCTGGGTAACATTGTAGACTCTTACAGTTTTGCCATGGTAACATTTCAGGCACAAAGATGACATGTGGTCAACCATGTGGGAGTCCAGCATCATTGACCAACTACTGGCCCTGCTAAATTTTCTTTACAAGCCAAATGATGTATAGTGTTGAATTTTTTTTTAAGACTAAAAATAATAATTATCTAAAAAAAGTATTTGACAGGAGATCCTCATTTGGGGTGACTTTGTGGTATCAGTTCTGTGATTTAAGTATTTATTGTCATGCTCATTAATACTCAAAGTCAACTGCCTATCAAGTGACTGGTCTTAACATGCATCATGCTGTTGGCGCTAATACTCAGCTGGCCATTCATCTAGAAAGCAAGAGGAGATGGTCCTGTGTGTACCAGATGGCATTGGTGCTTGGACAGGCTCAGTCTTCCAAAATCTTCTATCTAGGGCAGGAGATCAGCAAAACCCAAAATGGCTGCCTCAGACTGTTAGTTTAGCATCTGGGCTTGAGCAGGTTACTCTGGCCAGCCAGGTCAGCCCCATACCTGAGAAAAGCACTGCAGGATGAAGAATAAGATTAATATTATAGGATAGAAACAATGTGAGAATGGTCTCTCCCACCCCCATAGAAACTTGCAGTATTGCCCCTCTGTTTTTCTTTCTTTCTTTTTTTTTCCATAGTTCTTGGCTTCTTTGAGCTTTTATTTTTAATATGAACCCCGGCTTCCCTTTGCAATTTAACAATCCTGTTAGTGTTGTTACTCCCTTTCAAGGTCCCTTGAGCCTCTGATATGGATAGGTTACTTTGACCTTTTTGTTTTTTGCTTTTCGCTTACCTGTAGAAACTAGGCTGCTCACTGACAGCAACACAGACAGGTAGTAAAGTTCAGGGGTTGTTTTTGCCTGTGTTTGAGAAGAAAGAAATACTGTGAGAAATACTTTGTCACTTAATTGGAATACATAATAAAAATGTTTGGGAGTCGCTAGCAGGTTAGGTGGTATGGAGCTTAAGGCTTTGAAGAACATGTGACCTTTTTTTTTTACTGACTTGTTTATTCAAGTCCTGGACCCGATGACTTGAAAATTACCCTGGATTCTCCTGTGTTTGTGCCCAAAACCCTGACAGGAGAGGGGAAGAGAAGGGATTGTAGGACGGCTATCCCCCTTGCGCGGGATGGTTTCTTACTTTCTCTCTTCTGTCTCTGGTGAAGATACATACCGCATAAGAAAAAAAAAACTTAAAAAAAAAAAAGTTTTGCCACAAGAATTTGAATGAAAATGCCAGTTTAGCAATGGATGGCTTGATGCTTAACATGCCACACTCAATCTGACATCTCTGTTGTTGATTAGTATCTTAACTGCTTTTAAAAATTCTAGTAAACTAGACTTTTACCACAGAAAGAAAAATCTCTTGTGGAATTATTTCATCTTTACTAGTGAAATTTTATTTTTAACTGCCACAAAGTGTGTATGCTAGGAAGAAAGAGAAAGAATTGCTTTAAGAGGGAGCATGGTCACACCTCAGTCTTGTTCCTCCACTTCTTGTCAGGATTTTGGACACACACATGTGAGCACACTGTGTGGTTTCACACTACTAAGGACAGCATTTGAGTCCTGGTCAGCCACGTGGGATCTGGTTCTCTATACATGGCATTTACCTGCTGTGCTATGGAGGTGACCCTGGAATTTAAGTTTGTATTTTTCATTCATAATAGACAATGTATATAAGTATACAGAGAGGAAACAGAGGAGGGAAGCACCCTCCTGAGGGTTTCATCATGCCATGATCCCTTCTCCCTAGACCTTCAGCTTATTGCGTTCCTGGGTGTACATGCATGCACACAGCATGTTTAACTTCTTCGCAGGTATCTGAACTTGTCGTCAGCCATATGGCTTCCAGTATTGCTATTTAGTTTGTCACCAGGCTGGGCCAGATGACATGGTTTACTGTGATATGTGTCTAATTAGAATTTCCATTTCTAAATATCTCTAGTTTTAGTGTAAAAGTAGGAAATAATTATTAAAGACTAATGATTATTGTTCAGTCAAACTTTCAGATTAAGATGAACATTTAGTATTTAGGGACTAGCAGATGGTGTAATGGCTACATGCTGGACTCCCACGTAGTCACCTGTGGTTCTAGTCCCAAACCTGGCGGCTTAAAACTCATGCCAGGGATTTGTGTGTGCATGCACAAGATCCTGAGAGGCGAATGGAGGAAAAGGGATTGTGGTGTGGCCATTCCCCCTAAAGGGATGATGTTTTTGCTTGGCCATTCCCTCTAGAGGGTGATTTCTTGCTTTCTGTCATCCTGTCTGTCTCTCCAGTGAGTGCATGCACCCTATAGCTAAAAGCTCTGATTTAAAAAAAAAAAATTTTAGTATTTAAAAACATACACAGTCTGATGCCAAAATTGTTAATATCATAGTGCAGACTCCTTCACCAAAAGATCCCACACCAAACGCTGCAAATATCTTCTTTAGTGCTTGTGGGGCTGGTTCCATCTGAATAAGTAGCACAGTAAAACCTAAAAGCACAGGGGACATAATGGTTTACTAGGTTTAATCATGTCAGAAACATTTTTTTTTTTTTGGAGAGATTTTCGCCACAGGGCGCGTGCACTCGCCAGACAGACAGAGAGAGACATAGAGACAGAAAGCGAGAAATCACCCCCCAGGGAGGATGGTCACGCCGCAATCCCTTCTCCTCCATTCTCCTCTCGGGATCTTGGGCACGCATGCACACGCACCCGGTGTGAGTCTCAAGCCAACTGGGTCTGGGACGCGAACCACGGTCAACTATGTGGGAGTCCAACGACATAGCCATTACGCTAACTGCTGGTTCCCAATAATGTCAGAAACATTTTTGAATGCAAACCTATATATAACTTCTTCATTTTCTGAATGTGAAATAGTAATGTTCAAAATATTGCCTGGGGGGCCTGCAATTGACATGGAACTTAAGGTATGGGGGTTAAGGCATGGGGTGGCTAGCTATACAGTTCAAGTTCCAGGCTCAGTGGTTTGAGAATCATTCTGGCACATGTGCATGTGTGCCCAGAATCCCAATAGGAGAATGGTGGAGAAGAGATTATGTCACGGCCAATCCCCCAGGCAATGATTTTTCACTTTTTCTCTCTGTTCTCCATTCACCCTTCTGGATTTTGGATATATATGTATATGTGCCTAATGTTTTCTAGCCACCTTAACTACAATGCCAATGGTTAGCTCTACCCACGTATTTTTTTATGATTAGGATTATTATTAGGTTTTGCCATAGGGCGTGTGTGCTTGCTGGAGTGCAGGATGGGAAGATGGTGAGAAATAACCACCCCCCCCAGTGGGATGGCCATATGGCAATCCCTTCTCCATTTTCCTTCTGGGATTTTGGGCACATATGTCCTGTTTATTGAGTTTTAAGCCACCATGCCCAGGACTTGAACAACCACTGTTGGCCATGTGGGAATCTGGTAGCACCTTAACCACTACACCACCTAGCGGCCCCAGTGACAGTTTTTTTTTTTTTTTTTTAAGATTTATTTTATTGAACTTTATTTTCCAATTTGATTAACGAGAGACAGAGAAAGAGAGAGAGGGAAAGTGAGAAAGCAACCCACCATGTCCGGGACTCGAACTGCAGTCAGCCGTGTGGGAGTCCGGCGCCCTTAACCGCCCCGCCACCTGCTAGCCCAATGACAGTGTTTTATTCCTGTTTTTTATTTAACAGAAGGTAAGAGTTAAATGAAAGTTTAAGTAACTCACATGGTTGTAGACCAACTATTCCCACCAGTCTCTAAAGCCAGTACTCTACCATTACAGTATGTTGTCTTTAGTAAAGCTGTGATTAATCAAAAGACATTCTCTTGGACCTGGCAGGTGGTGTGGTGGTTGAGGTGCTAGATTCCCACATAGCCAATCACAGTTCAAGTTCCAAACCTGGCAGCTTGCTTTCTCACTCTCCCTTTCTCTCATCTGTCTCTGTTCATAATTGAAGAATAATGATAATAAGTAAATTTAAAAATAAACCTTTTATTTTTTTAAAGGTACTCTTAGGTCCAGACCGTGTCCAAAGTATGCGGTAATTAATTTATTACTTCCAAGTCCGGGACCTGAACCATGGTCAGCCATGTGCAAATCCAGTGCTCTTAACCACCACGCCACCTGCTGGCCCCAAGTAAAAATAATTCTTCAAAAAAAAATTTAGACACAGTTTTTGTTGGAAATTATCTATTTTGGCAGCTAAAATGGTGAAATAGCAGTACAATAAAATTCTCTTCAAGGCTGATACAAATGGGGTTGGTTCCCAGTTCAACTCCAGGGGCCTCCCTGAATATTCTAGGCATGGGTATGCATGTTATCTGGGGCTGGCTGAGTCTGGGGATGAGGGGTGAATCATGCCCTCCAGACCCTGTTGTGGATCTTGTCTGATTGTCTCCATCTGTCTGTCTCTGTCCTCTGTCTCACTCATGGAGTAGATACATTGATAAAACTTATTAAAAATATGCATCTCTCTTAAAAAGCATAGATAAGGGACCAGCAGATAGCATAATGGCTATGTTGCTGGACTCCCATGTAGTCTACCACAGTTCGAGTCCCAGATCCAGTGGCTTAAAACTCATGCTGGGCACGTGTTTGTACATGCCCACAATCCTGAGAGGAGAATGGAGGAGAAAGAATAGTGGTGTGGCCATCCCCTTGGGGGGGGTTATTTTTCACTTTCTGTCTCTCTGTCTTTCTGATGAGCACACATGTCCTATAGAAAAAAAAAAAAAAGCATAGACAAAGGAATACAGGCTCAATATACATGAATCAAAATAATCTTAAAACCTCTATATTTCAGAGATAACTCTTCAATATGATGCTTTTTAAAAATTTTTAAAAATTTGCTATATGACACATGTGCTTGGTGCAGAAAGCCATATAAAGTGAGAAAATACCCTCCAGGGTAGATGGCCACACCTCAGTTTCTTCTCTTGAAATTTTGGGCACATGTGCACACATACATATACCCACTGTGGCTTTTCAAGCCACTCATTGAAGGCTCAAAGTACATTTTTGGTCATGTGTGATCCAGCCACCTCACCTACCACTCCATTGGCTGGCCCTATATCATTTTGACTCTTAAGCAGGTGATATATCTGTTTTTCTACCCAGCATCATATTATGCTCAGTAGTCACTTAGTCATACTTTTATATTGTAGCTATAAACAATTGTACAACCCAGAGCATTCTTATTTAAATTAATTTGATCTTCAAATTGTAACTAAACAGATTCTAAGGAACATTTTTTAAATTCCCTTTAGACTTCGACAAGATGGCTACTAGAAGTGCCTAACGTACTTCCCTCTCAAGATAAAAGGACCAAAACAAAGAATAAGCAACTGATATTCATTGCTGTGTTCAAGGGAGAGTGTTGGAGTGCAGTGTGAGTGTGGTAGAGACACTGCAGAGCACAGAGACTCAGGAAAGCTTTGTAGAGAAGGGAGCAAAGCACTCAGTATCTCCTGCCCTATCGCCCTAGTCAAGATCAACTAGGAACTAAAAGGGACTTCTTGTTCTGGGGAAAGAATAAGCAAGAAACCTTCAGCAGTACCATTGACACCTTCGATACCTGAATTTTACCACAGAGGAATTCTATAACCCTCACGGGCCCTGAGCCGAATTAAGTGAGTGACCAAGGGTGGCCACACTGCTGAATTACACAGGGGGAGAAGTCCAATCTTTGTTGTACCATCCCCACACAGATTGTGGCAAGGCTATCCAGTGACCATATCCACCTGCGTTGTTCAGGAGCAGCTGAGCAAACACCCTCTCCCAAAACCACTAGCACCAAGAGCTATTGAAGCAGCCTTACTTCCCCCACATACTTGTATGTCCTGTGGAAGTGGCAAAGGGAGCAATCCTTCCCACAACTCAGTTTCAGAGAGGGCCTGACCCTCTGCATCTTCAAGAATCAGGTTGGGAGAGTGAATGTAGACACAACTGTGCTACCTGAGAAGCCCTACCTGTCACGTTCTAAGAACAGCCAGTGAGGCCACTGCATTACTTCTAGTAATCACTGATACTGATTATAGGTGAGGACACTACTATACCACTGTGCCTAGCTAGACCCAAAGCCAACATAGTTTATACAACTGGCATTCTAGGACACAACTACTGGAGAAAGTCTTTTCACCTGGAAAACCATCCTATAAAACTGATACAACTACTCACCAGATTAGCAAATATTAATATAGGGATACCAGATACCTGAAAAAACAAGTAAGCATGACATTCCCAAAGCAATACAATAATACTCCAACAACATACCCCACAATGAAGGAAATCTGTGAAATGTCTAAAAAGGAATTCTATATTTTTATTATAAGGAAACTCAATGACATACAAGAGAGTAGCGATAGGCAGTTCAACGAATTAATGGAATTTCTACGTGATCTGAAAGCTTCGGTCCACGAAGTAGCAGAGGTCTTTAAAAAGGGCCAAGGAGAAATCTTGGAGCAGAAGGAGCCAAAGAAAGAAATACCATCTACAATTGGAAGCTTTAACAGTGGACTTTATCAAGCAGAAGAAAGAATTCCCAAACTTGAAGACAGCTCATTTGAAATAATAAAGTCAGAGAGAAAAACAGAAAAAAGAATAAAAAAGAATGAACACTTCAGGTGCTTTAATGATAAAGTTTTCGAAGCAGAGGAAAGAATTTCTAAACTTGAAGACAAGTCATTTGAAATAATCCAGTCCGAGAGAAAAACAGAAAAAAGAATACAGGACATATGGGACAGTATTAAACGAACAAATATTCGTGTTATGGGAGTTCCAGAAGGAGAAGAGACAGGAAAAGACATAGAAAAGTTATTTCACGATATAATAGCTGAAAACTTCCCAAGTCTCCGGAGAGAGATGGACATCCAGATTCAGGAAGCTCAAAGGTCCCCAAAAAGATTGAACCCAAAAAGACCCTCTCCAAGGCACATTATAGTGAAACTATCAAAGTGTAAAGACAAGGAGAAAGTTCTAAAAGCAGCAAGAGAAAAGGGACAAGTCACATATAAGGGAATTCTCATTAGACTAACAGCAGATTTTTCTCTAGAAACCTTACAAGCTAGAAGAGAATGGCATGATATATTCAAAGTATTGAAAGAAAAAAACTGCCAGCCAAGAATACTTTATCCA